CCTTTTCCTTACCTCTGCCTTTGATTTGCACTTCAGAGTCATGCAGAATAATTCTAATGCCTATTCCAAAAGAAACACTGTCAGATATTTAAACTCCCCTGTGGTGGTGGCCTCCTATTATTCTGCTTCTCTCTGCCCTTAAATTTCTCTCCTCTCCTCTCCTCGAATACTTACACTGATACATACTTAGTCACTGTCTTTTTGGAGTTAATCAAACCAAATCTAAGTCTTTTCAGTTTAGATTTTCTACTTTAAGAGGGAATTTAATAAATTAAAGTGATCATACTTGTGAAGATACTTGAAACTCTATTTGGGGTACCACATTTCTGTGAATATTGCCTGAAATCTGATAGTACTTTTCTTGGCAACCACTTCACACTTTTGCCTTTTATTCTGTTGACTAGCAGATAAAACTTCATATTATTTTGATGAGAACTACCATCTTCCTTATTCTGAAGTTGTGTGGATGATATGTTACTTCTAGTTAAATGGCATCTTGCTAGACTTAGCCCATTGTTCCAGTTCATTTATCTCTTCTTGGATTGAGTCTGTCAGGTAGACTATTTGCAAATAAGTCAGCATCTTGTAATGTACACACTTGAGTATTATTTCCTCCTTCAAATCATTGATTAAAATAGGTGTTGAGAAAAATGTCAAGGAAAGAAAATTTCAGCAAAGTGCTAGACACCTTCGTCTACACTGATTTTATTAGTCAGTTCCCCTTAGCTAATATATAACTTAGCTAAAACTTAGGTCATGCTACAGTGATAAACAATCTTCAAATCCTAGTGGCTTCCAATAGCAGGGTTTGTTTCTCACTCACAGCTTACGCTGACTATTGTTCAGCTGTGATTCTGCTCTGTTTGTCTTCATTGCGGGGCCAGGAGGAAGAAGAAGTCCTAAACTGTGATAGTCTTTTTTTTTTACGTCAAAGAGAGAGAAAAAGATATTGCTAATCTACACCAATGGTTCCTATAGCTGCTGCATGAATGTGGATGTGCTACATCCTCTCACACGCTATGGGCCACAGCAAGTCACAGGACCAAGCCTGACAACAGTGGGCTAAGGGTACATTCTCCCATGGGCTTGTTGTAGAAGTATGGCAATGTGTGGCAGTGAATAATTGAAAGTAATCTATAATCATTTAGTAAAAATATTTAACGTTTGTCTATTTTGTTCTAAAATGTTTGTACCATCTGTTTTAATTCCCACAAGAACCTTGGTTTACCGAATGAGACCCTACAAGGTGAAGCGTCTTGTTATAATTAGTAAGTAGCAAGTTAAGATTCATTCCCAAGTATTTGGAAAGCCTACAATGCCCTTTCCGACACTGATGATGATGATGACAACAAATTTACTTACATGTATTGAGTGCATTTTACCAGGCAGGCGCTACCGTGAGCACTTCATTGTCTTATTGCAGAGGATAATGAGCTCTAGCTGCCTTAGGAGATGAACCACAAAATCCCAGTGTTTTAACACAATAAAAGTTTATTTCTCATTTATATCATATTCCGGTGTGGGTTGGGTAACTCTTTAGGGTAGTTCTCTCATTTCAGTAGTGACCTGAAGATCCAGGCTATTTCTGGTTTTTTGTTTGTTTTTTTCTCCCAAACTAGCCCATCTGAAACATGTGACCTTTAAGGCTACCATTGCAAGGTGAGAGAGGCAGAGGAAGGGGTTGAGGGGGAGGCAGGGAAAGATGGAGAGTAGAATATATATATATATAGATAGATAGATAGATAGATTATAGATATGGGCAAACTTGGTAGATGTTTTTAAGGGCTGAGAAGGGGATTGGCTCACATCTTTTCCGCCCATATCTCTTTATCATGAATTAGTCACATGACCTCACCTAGATGCACGAGGGCTGATAAGTAAGCAGAGCATTAGATATTGGGTAAACATTAATGGTCCCTGTCAAAAAATTAGAAACATTAACATCCCCATTTTTATAGATGAGAAAACTGACATGGAGAAAATTTAAGTACTTTTCTGGGCACAGCTGTGGAAGTGAAATAGATGGAGTTTGAACCTAGACTGTAAGGTTTTAGAATCTGTTCTCTTAGCAACTATACTAGATTGACTTTCATCTTTTATCATGATTGGCTAGGTTATGAATATATTGAGTATGCTGTCATCCAGCTACATTTATCCATTTCTTCAAAAACATAATAAAAACATTTAAAAACTAATCAGTTGAAATCTAGACATACTGGAGATATCACGATCATAATCCTGTTAAAATATGCAATGAAGCTAGTACAGCAGGATTAATTATCAGTGATTAATGTTTTTTTTCTCTTGAGAGATTAGCACTTCTGGGCCCGAAAAGGCCACACACACAGGGATAATAAATGTCTCAGAGAAAGTAGAGGGTAGGCTGCCCACCTGCGCTCCTCTGTACTACTCAACCTGTCTTATCATATCTTGGCTCTATGTAAGACTCAAGGGCTGTGGAGAAGTCTCAGGACACATTGGGGTTCAATTTTCCCATTAGCTTGGGTGGGTGAGCTCAGACTGAGAAATTAAGTTGTAGAAAAGCAAGAAATTTAAATTTCTTGAGTCTGTGGACTGAGATGAATAGCCACTACATACAAAAAATACATCTAGAATATTTCCCAGGTTGTGATCAAATTCACTATTCTCATATTTGTAGACTTCTTTTTTCTCTTGTTCTTGAAAATGGGACTGGCTGTCTCCAGCACTTCCCCTGAGGATCTCTGTGGTTCCTCATTAATTACTGACCATGATTCAGTCATTCCATCTGCAGATTTTCACCAAAGAAATATGTGATATGTCAGAGCCAGGTCCATAACTGATACTGAATACCTAGGTAGAATGTCATGAGCTCTTTATTTACCTTGGATTTTAATTTCCTCTTTGTCACATTTACCACACCATTTCAAGAAGATCTTTTTTGACTAAGAAGCTGGAAGCAAAATTGGAGCCTAAGAGGCAGGGGTTCTGACTGTCCTCCATTGCCTAGCAAGACTCTCATCCTTAGCCTAAGGAGCACTCATTCTGGAAGTTAGCTATGAGCCTGCCTGCCCAAAGTATTGTGGAGCCAGCTTGAAAGTACTTCTTTACTTGAAGATTTGAGGTTGCTCCAGGGATAGAATCACCAGGAAAAAACAGTGATAAATGAGAGTGGAGGCCAAGAAGTTGGACTAAGGAGAACGAGCCAGTTATCAAAGGGAGGGCCAATTTTGAGCACAGCCCAGCATGTGTCACTATCGCTGTCCTCTGGCCTAGCCATCATGAAATCATGCCTGTACCCATGGTGAGCAGGCTGTTACAAAAGCAAGTAAAGCTGAAAGGGCCACTTATTAGCAGTTTTTGTGGGACTTTGGAAGTACAAGCTGTGAGGAGCAGTGGTGTCGGTAGTAGGGATGTTGACAGATGTCATCAACATCCCTACTATCATAGCTTTTGCTGTCATAAGTAGCTGCCACATTGGGTGCTGACCTTTATATGAGAATTTGCCACAATGAGTCAGGGTAGGAAAAAAGAAAAATGGCAATTACACAATGAAACCTGGAAAACTTGGTATTATCTTTACCCTTTGGGGTTTCAAAGCCATGTAGAAGGAATGTTGTGGAGTGTGTGTGACTCTGTGTACCTGTCGAGAAGTTAGAAGTCCTGCAGGATGAGTAGTGTTGAAGCCAGAGAAGTAGTATTTTGTGTCCATAATTTATCCTATTGTTATTCCCATGTTTGCATGTGCCAGAAAATACAAGTTATATTAGTTTTACACCATTTGCCCTAAATAACACTTATGACTTTCTTGGTTCTTCTTGGTGTAAATGTAAGGAAAATCATCCTTTTCCTTGTTCCTCCATACTTGCAAGCATTAACTCACTTGGGTTTCCACTTCCCAACCTCGGGTTTCAGCCTAGTTATCAGGCCTTCACAGTCGTCTTTGACTGTTTGCTCTTCTCTTCATCTTTTGAATTATTTTTAAAGGCCTCTTCTCTTTGCATTTATATTATCCTTGGTAGGTATATTTTCTGTATTTCTTTTCCCCTTTAGGCTGGAACTTCCCTTTCTTGCTCTGTCTGTCTTTTTAAAGAATCAACTTTTAAAAGGTTTTCCTCTGAATATAAAAGTACTAACCTTACACTGGAGGAAATCCAAAAGTAGAATCATCAATCAGAAAAAATTACCATAACTTTATGACCTAGAGATAATTAGTGTTAGTACTTTGTTTAGTGTCTTGCCACCAATTTTCTATGTATATCTATATATACATTATATGTATGTATGTGTGTGTTTGCGTAGGTATGTATGTAAATATATATCTATAGTTACAAAATTGGGATTATACTGCACATGATTTTTGTAACTTTTCCACCTATCCCTATGATTCTTTTCCTATGTCATTTATTCTTCCCAAACATCATTCTTTTTTTTAAAAAAATATTTATTTATTTTTCGAGAGAGGGGAAGGGCAGGAGAAAGAATAGGAGAGAAATGTCAATGTATGGTTGCTTCTCATGCGTCCCCTGCTGGGAACTAGCCTGCAACCCAGGCATGTGCCCTGAATGGTAATCGAACCGCGATACTCTGGTTCGCAGGCCCGCACTCAATCCACTGAGCTACGCCAGCCAGGGCCCAAACATCATTCTTAATGACCACAACATATTTTAAAGCTTCTGACTCATCTTGCTAATTCACTTTCCAAAAAGGAGATGACAATTCACACACTCACCAGTAGCATTTAAGAGCATACTTGCTGGTTTCCCTGTATTCTTATTAACACAACAATTTATAAAATTTTTGCCAGTTGTCCAGGTAAGAAATGGAATCTTATTGTTATAATCTGCATTCCTTTGATTGCTAATAAGATCAAACAATTTTAATGTTTATGGCTATTTGTATTTTTTTCATGAGTTGCATGTTTGTGCCTTTTCATGTATTTTTAATGCTCTTGTTGGAATTTCATTTTTCAGACATTTTCTAATCCTCTTGCTCTTGTTTCTCTATTAAGAATCTCAGACGATGTGGTCCTGCCAATATCTTATCTGAGATTTGGAACTCAGCCTTCCTGAAGCCTATGACACATATCTGAGTGTACCAAGCCATTACTTCCCTGACCATCACACAGTGAAGTGAGTTTCATTTGTCTCTGATACCTGACTGATTAGGTATTATTGACTATATCTAAGTGTCTTACCCTCACCCTATTAATCTCACAGTTGGCCTAGGATTGCTCCAGTGATGCTAGAAAACTGAAAAGGAAAAAGGGGTTTGGATGCAAGGTAGTAAGCTACATGTCAGTGAGGCACAGGAGAGGGGATAATTTATTAGTGGTGTGTGGGCTCATGTAAAGAGTTCTCTGGATGTATTTGCAGAAACTCAGCAGGGACAGGCCTTTGCTAAGTTGAAAGTGGTGTCACACTCCAGGGACTTTGGATCAAAGACCAGGATCTTATTCAAGAAGGGAGGACAGAGATAAAATTTGGAGCTTAGATTGTGATGAAAAGTTGGTCAAGGAAGTATGTCAGAAAAAGAACAGGATACAAATCCTGAGGCAGTTAGAAACAGGGCACCTTGGGAGACTATTTCTCTAAGCAGTCAGGAATGTGTAAAAAAGAAAGTTCTTCCCATCAAAGATAGGAAGCCAAGGTCACTGATGTTGAAGAGGCAATGGTGGGGGTGAGGCTGAATATGAGAGGGCGACACCACAGGGTCAAAAGTGGGCTGGAATTGTGGGGAGTGAGGACTAAGAACAAGCACCTCCTTTTGAATTCCTATCCACTTCCCAATGTCGTGGACTCCCTCCTCCATGTTTACTCACTTCTCACCCTTTTAGTACATCCTCTGAACCTAATTTTATTTTCAATGAACTTTTCTTTTTTTTTTTAACTTTTTTTTATTGATTATGCCATTACATGTGCTCTATTCCCCTCCACCCTGCATACCCCTCCCCCACCATTTCCCCCTTTAGTTCATGAACACGTGTCTCAAATTCTTTAGATTCTGTATTTCCCCTGCTATTCTTACCCTCCCCCCTATCTATTTTCTATCTACTGTCTATGCTACTTATTTTTGGTACCTTCTCCCCCCTTTCCCTCCTCCCACTCCCCTGTTGCTAACCCTCCATGAGATCTTCATTTCTATGGTTCTGCTCCTGATCTAGCTGTCCTCTTAGTTTGCTTTTGTTTTAGGTGTGGTTCTTACTAACTGTGAGTTTGCTGTCCTTTCACTGTTCATCTTTTTTATCTTCTTTTTCTTAGGTAAGTCCCTTTAACATTTCATATAATAAGGGCTTGGTGATGATGAACTCCTTGAATTTGGTCTTATCTGAGAAGCACTTTATCTGTCCTTCCATTCTAAATGAAAGTTTTGCTGGGTAGAGCAATCTTGGTTGTAGATCTTTGGTTTTCATGACTTGGAATACCTCTTTCCAGCCCCTTCTTGCCTGTAAGGTCTCTTTTGAGAAATCAGCTGACAGTCTGATGGGAACTCCTTTGTAGGTGACTGTCCCCTTAGCTCTTGCTGCCTCTAGGGTTCTCTCCTTCATTTTAACTTTGGCTAATGTAATTATGATGTGCCTTGGTGTGTTCCTTCTTGGGTCCAACTTCTTTGGGACTCTCTGAGCTTCCTGGATTTCTTGGAAGTCTATTTCCTTTGCCATCTTGGGGAAATTCTCCTTTATTATTTGTTCAAATAAGTTTTCCACTGGTGGCTGTTCCTTTCCCCCCTTCTGGTACCCCTATAATTCGAATGTTGGAACGTTTAAAGATGTCCTGGAGGTTCCTAAGCTTCTCCTCATTTTTCTGAATTCTTATTTCTTCATTCCTTTCTGTTTGATCATTTTTTTCTTCCTTCTGGTCCACTCCCTTGATTTGAGTCCCAATTTTCTTTCCATTACTATTGGTATTCTTTGTATCACCATTCATTTCAATTAGTTTAGCTTCCATATGTTTCTCTAATTTGTGACTAAAGTCCACCAGTTCTGTAAGGATCCTGATAACCAGTGTTTTGAACTGTGCATCTGAAAGACTGGCTATTTCTTCATCACTTAGGTCTATCGGTTCTGGGGCTCTGAGTTGTCCTAGAGCCATTTTTGGTCTATTCGTGCTGTTAAGTGAGCGGAGCGAAGCCTTAGTTGTTTACCAGGACGGGGTGACCCAGGTCGCTGGTTTGTGATGCTGTGTGTGGGGGCGGGGTCAGAGAGGGAGCAATGGCGTTCCTCTCCGCTAGCCCAGCGCATTCAGTCACTCACACGCCTCGGGTTTGCTTATCCGATCCTAATTGTGCGAGTCTGCTGCACCGCGCGGTTTTCCCTTCTCACTGGCTTCTCCGCACGTAAATGCGCGCAACCGACCGACCGCCGCGCCTCTTCCCTGTGCGCTCCAGCAGCCAGCTCGCTCGCGATCAGCGCCCTCGGTTGCCGCCTGCGCGCACCGCACACCGCCCCGGGAATTTTTTCTTGCTAACCTGCTCCGCTGCTGGCCTCGCTCCTCGTACCGGTCCAGCTGAGTATCTAGTTGTCCTTTGGACTCCGTATTGTCGGTTTTTCGTGTGGCTTGGTTGTGACTGCTGTTAAAAATAGTTGTTCTTAGATTTGGTTGTGCACAGAGGCGAGGTCGTTCCTCCACCTACGTCTCCATCTTGGCGGAAGTCCTCTTCAATGAACTTTTCTGTGTACTGAACTTCTTATAGAACATTCTCTTCATCTCTTGCTTTAACTGAAATTTATTGCTTCCCAGGACCTGCTTTGCCAGTGGCCCTTTTGAGGAAAGGAAGGCCATTCCTTTATAAGCCATGTATCACTGGGCCAAGGGAGGTGTTTGTATTGCTTCATGTCCCATTAAACCATTTCTTTTGGATCCTCATACAAAAGTCTCTTTTCCTTTGAAATTTATGTGATCTAGCTATGCCATTTGCCCCATATAATGTCATAAATATTGGCTTACCCAACATTTATGAGGGCTTTGGAACTTAGCTTATAGGTTTATTTTTCACTTCACTTTTTGATTGACCTTAATTTTTATGTAACATTTCCACCTACAATTATTTAGCTTCCTTTACTCCTGTGACCTTCACCTCTACCCTGCGTAAATCACCCATTGTCTTCTCTACTTCTGTCACCAGGATACTGAAAGCTGCTGGAGAAACTGCACAACTTTGTCCCTTGGTTCCACTAATGGTTGATAGTCTGACCTTGACTTCAGTTCAGCTCATCAATCCTTTCATTGCCCCTGGTCAGCCTTCTTTCATCATACCATGATAGATATTCTTAGTCTTCTGATCTTCTCAAGCTGTCAATTATAATCCCACCACCTTCTTTTTAAACAGATGCCATTTCTTTCTATCTCTTAGGGGAAAGTGAGGTTATTAGTTGTAACCTTACTAATTTCTCTCCTTCCCTCCTCACCTGCAAACTCATCTGCCTCTGACTTCCCTCTATTCTTCACTCTAGTATCTAAGTGAAGTGTTCCTCTCTTGCTTTAATGTAATTCTTCCCTCTGTGCTTTATTGCACATATTCCCCGGGAGCCTGTTCATACATCATTCTCAGTCTATTCTGTATCTTCTTTCTTCCTCCACTGATTCTTTCACTTGGGACATTAGTAAGTACCTGTCTCTGCCTTCTTAAAAATCTCTGTCTGAATACTGCACTATCTTTCTTCCCAGGCAAACTTCTTCAAAGTGTTATCCCTCTGCTGACTTCCTCATTCCTCTTTTCTTCTCAAATCCTAGCAATCTGTTTTCCTACCACAGTACTCAATAAAAGCATTCCTTACAGAGATTACCAGGGATCCAGTTATGAAACTCAGTAGGTACTTTTTGGATTTATATTTTATGCTTTCATTTTTGTATTTGACACTGTTGATCATTCCTTGTTCTTGACATTTTTTTTACTTTAGTTTCCATCATGTCATTCTCTCAGCATTCCTTGTTCTTTCTGGGTCATTATCATCTATTACTCTCTACTCTGAGGAACATTCTTTCTGATGTTCTCAGAGGTCTGTGCTTGTTCTTTTGCTATCCTGCCCACTTTATATTCAAGCTTCTGGTATCACTTACATGTTTTTTACTCTAGACCTCTACTTGAGTTTGAGACTAGAACATCCAGCTGCCCATGGGAAAACTCCACTTCATGACCCTATAAAGCTCAAACTGGAAATGGTGCTTAATGACTGTTTTATGAATTAATGTCCAAAACTCAATTAGTCATTTCTCTCTGTTTCCAAATCTGTTTTGTTTCCTGTTGATTAGTTTTTATGTGCCTAAAATGACTATATATTTCTTACAGCATATGGAAGTAAGACTTTCTATCCCTGAAAAAGGCACGCTCTGTTTTACTGAAGGAAGAAGAGGAAAAGGTGAGATGAGATGCCTGCAAGCTATAGTTTTGGTTATCCTACATAGCTATGTCCCGTTTTGCTTTCATCAAATGGAAACAGTCCTGTCTTTGCTGTTGTTTACACCCTCGTCTACATTGTGGAGGTGTGAGAAGCTTAGTTTACTTGTCCTGAGCAGCTGTCCTCATTCCTGTAATCCAGTGCTTCTCAAACATTGATTAGCATATAAGATACTCATCTGAGAAAGGATTTTTTTCACTTATTTTTGTTTTTTTCCAGAGTATTTAAAAAAATCTTTTAAAATTTATTTTTAGAGAGAAGGGAGGGGAGAGAGAAAGAGAGGGAGAGAAACATCAATGTGTGGTTGCCTCTCATGTGCCACCCATCTGGCTTGTAACCCAGGCATATGCCCTGACTGGGAATCGAACCAGTGACTCTTTGGTTTGCAGACCGGCACTCAATCCACTGAGCTACACCAGCTAGGGCCATTTTTTTTTCAGAGTATTAGACCCTATCCATGATATTCTAGGACTAGGGTGGGGCTGAGAAATCTGTACTTTCAGAGGCTTTCAAGGTGTTTGTGTTAAATGTGGTTCACAGACCACATTTTGAGAAACACTGTTGTAGTATTTTGAAACTGCCAATTGTTGTCTGCCATTTTCTTTAACTGTTAAAGATCTCTGTCACTGCAAGAACCATTTAATTGAGATATCAATATATTTGAGGGCTTGATTCTTTAATATTTGAATGCATAAATCCTACTGGTAACAATATTTACATCTATCGAAAATAGCATTCCATTTATGAGCTGTGTTTTTTTCTATAGAATACTCAGCTCGACTCCTTTGTAGGTGGAATTATTACAGATTTTGAATAAACTGACTTTTAAAGACAAAGCCATAGTTTTTAACTTGTTAGCTGGGAGAATGGAGCAATTTTTTTGGACTGAATATGCTGTTTGGATTTTGAGTGCAAACTGTTGTCTTCCCATTCCATTGCAGAAGAACAAAACAAAGACGGAAGCTTTTCCTTGCTGAGCGTTTTCAGCCTAGGCTTCAAAGGCATCTTCCTCAGAACATGCATAGGATCAGCTAATCAAGAACAGGTACTTGCTTATTCTGTGATTTTATCTTCTAAGGCCAGTGCTACCTATTACTGGTATCCTGGCCAAGACATTGTTTATATCTCTCTCCCTGCAGAGCTTTGTGTCTAAAAGGTTTTCCCCGCTTGCTAACAGTAGAACTTACATCTAAAAACAGAGGAATTATTCACAACTTACCTTGTATTTTTGTGGACTTTATAGCCAGGAACTTTATAAATGCTGAGTAGCTCAATATTAACAACAGCATTAAGGCAAGCTAATGCTTATAAACTTTACATAACCTCTAAAATGGCAGCGCAGTGAACCATTAATCAGCCTCTTAGGTTTCAACGTTTTTTTTTTCAGTTGCTTCTGTTTCCTTCTTAAAATGTAATAAGACTTTCCATGTGACTCCTTCTTATGATTTTGGTGAAATTCAAGCGATAACTAGTCTCTTTTGCTATTTGTTAATCATGAATACTTCTGAGCTTCAACTGGGATGTTTTGAAGTGTTGCTGCCTGGCTCAAGAATATCTTCTGTCTTCCAATTCTAGCAAAGCCCTTTAAAGGGTTGGTAGGAGGGGACTGCGAGGGATAAATGTGCTGTTGAATAGATTAGTGATATTTCCCATTCATTATAGGATTTCCCATTAGCCATGTTTCAGGCAATGTAGAATTGAAAGGTCGAACGTGATTGTTGTTTGAGCATGCAATTAAGAGTCAGGCAGGAGTTGCATGTATGTAACTCCAGTCAAGGGAATTCTTTGCCCTAAAATAGTCCAGTGGTTGAGGGAAAAGAGTTTGGAATCAGAAATGGGATGGGTTCCTATCTTGGTTCTACCACTTATTAGCTAGGTACCATTGAGCACGTGATTGAACTGCTTTGAGACTCCATAAAGTAGGCTTAGCAATTCTCACAACCACTCTTTGAGTGAGAAATCATTAGTGTCCTTTGGCAAAGCATTGTTGTGAAAGCCAACAGCAGCTAGCCTGTTGTTGGTAACACTCTTTTATGTACTTATTCATTCAAGGAATTTTTATGAGCCAGCTAGGGGCTAGAGACAGAGTGGTGAGCATGAAAAATAAAATCATTAACCTTGTGGAGCTTACTTTCTATTTGGGGGTGAGACAGACAACAAACTAATAGTCAAGGTCATTATAAATTATGATTCATGTTACCAAGGAATGAAGCAAACTGGTATGATTGAGAGTACCGGTGTGTGTGTGGGGTGTGTCAATTAAAATTGGTTGGCAACATCTGAGCTAGGAACTAAGGCTGAGAGTATCTGGGGATGAGCCCATCCGATAGAGGGCACCCTGTGCTAAGTGCTTTAAGGCAATCTCCTATTTTCACAGAACCCCCTTGAGGAACAATAAATTAGCATCCATACTTTTTAAAATAAGGAAGTTTTAGAAAATTGAATACATTGCCCAGGGTCACACAAGTAATATCAGGTCATCAGGGCTGGCATTAAAAGTCCAAAGCCCGTGTTTGTGACCATGACATTCCAGGAATGATACATTTTAGGGGAAAGAAGGAAGCTTAGAGACCACTAGTTCATGCAGTAATTTTATAAATAATGAAAGACAGGCTGGGAGAGCACATATGACTTGTTCAAAGTGGTGAGCATATGACCAGAAACCTGGGCCCCTGCTCTTGAGTCTAGACTTTGCTCCCCACTCTCCACTGACGAATGGGTTTGCAAGTAGAGGTCTTAGTGACCCAGCCAGTTTCTCCAGTTGATTCTAGTTTTTGATAAAGATAACCATTGGCTGATTTTGGGACTCCTAAAGTATACACGGTTTATTGAAAGCTCGATTGATTTGATAGGTGTTGTTTTAATATACCTTGTTATTTTTGTTTTCTTTAAATGTCTACATGCACATTATAAAAAAAGAAATTGAGTCAGCATATAAAAGAGCATTAAAGAAATTCCTTTCCTTCTAGAGATATCTCCCCATTCCCTACCTTCATTTTTTTCTCCCTAAAGGCAACCATTGTTAGTGCTTTGTGTATATCTTTGTAGAAATATTCTGTAAGTATGCAAGCTTATGTACATACAGGGTCCAGCAGAAGTAACGCCTGCTTGAGTGTGGTTGGTAGGTAATAATATGGGAGTAATAATTTATAGTTTTAATTTGAACATTTCACCTTAAATGTCATATAGTGTGCTTGAGTGTGATATTGTTATATTACAGAATTACATGCTTATGATTTTGTAATAAAAGAGTTGCTAATAAAAAAGGAGTGTTATTTGCTCCAGACCTTGTATATATCCTTTTACATAAAACATAATACAGCATATTGTACACAATATGTACACTTTGCTTCTTTCACTTAACATTAGATATTAAAGCTCTTTTCTTGTCACCAATATAGAGCTAACTCATTCTTTTTTTTTAAACTCATTCTTTTTAATAGTATTCCTTGTATGAAAAAAATTAAATATATATATCCCATCCCAATCAATCAATATTTAGGTAGTTTCCAGTATTGTGACTGTAACATGTTGCTGCACTGAACATCTTTGGGGAGATATTTTGTGCACACGTGGTAATCTATCTCTAAGATGTATTTGTAGCAGAATGGCTACATCAAGTGGTATGCAGATTTTAAGTTTTGATAGATGAAAGCTCAACAACTGTGTAAGAGTATCATCTTCAAAGTGGATGGTTGATGAGTGGTTTCTTTACCTGGGAAGCTTTTAAGGAAGCCTTCAGATTTCTCTGCTCTGGGCACTCTCCCATCCCCGCATGTTTACACCAGAGGCTGGGGAGACCCATACTCCAGGGAGCACCTGAACTCCCTCCTGGTAGGTCCTCTGTGTTTGGTTTACAGCAGGGCTATCCAACCTTTCGGTGTCTTTAGGCCACACTGGAAAAAAAGAGCTGTCTTGGGCCACACATTAAATGCATTGCAACACATAATTACACACAAAAATCTCATAATGTTTTAAGTAAATTTACGATCTTGTTTTGGGCCACATTCACAGCCATCCTGGGCCTCATGCAGCCCGCGGGCTGTGGGTTGGATACCCCTCGTAGAGCCTTCCTGTGCCCCCCTCTCTGAATCCTATTTTACCTGGCCCCTGTTCCTGAACAGGTATTTCTCTGGATTATATCTCGGGAAGCATAGCTTCAGGCAACTGCCCTGTCCTTTGGGGCCTTGCTGGGCCTTGGTCTAGGGAGTGTGAGAAGGAGGAAGAGGGGACAGGGATTAAATGTCAACTTTCTTGCTTCTGTTCTCACACCTATCTTTTCTGGGTTTGTTTTCTTTAGATTTTGAACTTTAAAGGAGGCTTTGGACCTCCAATTCCTCAACCATTTTAATCTCTTCATCAGTGGGATCTTCAGGGTCAGCTGCTTCTTTCACTACTGCCCAGCTTGCTTCTTGGCTTTGTGCCATTCGAACCCGTAGGAAACTAGAGCTGAAAAGATTGGAGGGAGCATGGCATCCAGCGACTTCCACGGTTTCCCCTCTGGGGACAGACGCTCTCCCATGGTAGTGCCGCAGGGGTTTCTGAGGTGGACTGAGAGTCATGACCCACAGTGGGCAGTGTGGTAGTCAAGCTCTGGGCACTTAGTTTTGTTTCAACCAAAAAGATTTCAATACAGTTTATATTATTGCACATTTTTGCAATATTTTGTTTTAAAAGGGACTCTGCTGCCTAATAAAAAATATTTTCAAAATCCCTGGCCCGGTAGCTCAGTTGGTAAGAGTGTTCTTCTGACATATCAAGTTTGCAGATTTTATCTCTGATCAGGGTACATATGCTAAGTGACCAATGAATACATAAATAAGCGGAGCAACAAATTGATCCCTCTCTCTTTGTCTCCCTCCCTCTCCCTTTTTCTTTCTCTCTAAAAAATCAGTAAAATGGGTCTACCAGAATTTTTTTAAAAGTTAAAAAACACCTACCAGTTTAGTCAAAGTTTCTCTTTTAGATGTAAGGAAGCTGGTCTAGAAAGGAAAGTTGACTCATCCAAGATCATTCAGATATTTCAATAATGAAGGAGGGATTTAAACTTTGCAGACTTCTAGTTCAGTGCCCCTTCTGCTGTAGACCATGAACCTAATAAGCACTTGTCATGGAAGCGTAGAGCCAGCCCCTCAAAAATCACATAGGGGTGGAGAGGCCTCAGTCTCTAGCTTAAACTCAAACCAAACCTTTGTTGAAATTTCTTTGCTTTTTAAAAGAAATAATTTTCACTTTTACACTGAACCCATCTGGGAATAAATGTGTTGAAAGACTCTCAGAAAAGCTGTTCTCACTGTACACATTTCTTCCCATCTAGAAATTCCAGAAGGACTTGCCATAAAGTGCATCTCGGGAGAAAACTGTTAAGATATATTTTCAGGCTGTATTCAGCTGACTTTACCCATCTCGCCTCCAGAGAGCTTGGAGAAGAGTGAGAAGCATTTAGGTCTGTTCCAGAGCTTACTTCAGATCTGTTTGAGACATTGAACTCACTAATAGGGAGGGATTCTTTTCGGCATTTTAGTCCAAAAAATCACCATTATCGAGTTTGTTTGTTTGTTTGTCCCAACAAATGATGCTCACCTGCTGGCCTCTAGTACCACAAGACCAGGCCATTTCCAAATCACACAATAGGGAGCACAGGCAAGAAGTATAAAGAAAGCAAAGACACAAGAGGCAACAACATACATGTGAAAAACACAAGGAAAATATAGACACAAGAGGCATTAACATGTATTTCTCAAACATGTATTTCTGAGTTCAAACAAACACAACTGAGAAATGGTTTGGAAATGGAAACACAAATTCTGGATAATAGAAGTGTCAGTCTAGGGGTTGTATCGACATCAATTCCCTCTGTATAATAATAGCCATGGCTGAAGGTAGAGCTTCTTTTAATAGTTGAGATTTTTCCTTTGCATTTCTTCATTCTCTCTTAGTAATAGCCACTTGAACTATCTTAAAAAGAGAAGTCCCTCTTTGTGGTGTTTGGTTATACCTTTCAAATGCTCGTGGGTATTTATTTCCTCCTTCCAACATCATTTA